CAAGTGCTATATTAGTATATTATTATAGTGTTATATTTCAATTTCACAAAGAAATGTGCAGCATTTTGTCCAAGCAGTAATTAAAGGACACATTTAATTTATAATTTGTCTTAAATCTCATTTTGTAAAAAAATAAATAAAATCGTGAATCGAATCGTGAGTTGAGTGAATCGTTACATCCCTAATCGCAAACGATAAGACATCGCCCATCCCTAACTTCAAGTATAGTCATGTATATCAAATAAAGCAAATGAAGAAGCTCTGAAAGGTTTCATTGCACAAGCAGAACTTTTAAAGATGCTTTTCCACACTATTCAGCTGTTGTTTAACATTGTGTAACTTCATACAGTATGTGAGCTCATGACGGTGTAGTTAGGAATGTGTGTCTCGTTCCAGGGAGTTTCAGGTGGTGAATGACATGGCAGTGACTTCACTCGCATACAGCCGAGACACGTTCCTCAAAGCATTTTAACTTGTGCTTGCGATATCTTTTGGCTTCATTCACTGTAAAGCTCCAAACTCAAACCTCGATAGCTTTGCTCCACGTTTTGCGTGTTGTAATCATTCAGAAGTGTTTAGGGCGGGTCTCCCGCCGCTGTCAGCTGTGTTGTCTTTGTAGTGGAAGTGCTGCGAGAAACAGTTGGTTTGAGGAGCATTGACTCACAGTATGCATACTAGCACAGTCACAGCCTGAAACCTCGTGATGTGGCCGATCTGTGCGCCAGTGTCGGGGAAGCTGCTTTCAAGCTTTTTAAGAGGGCAGTTTGTTTTTTGTTACATAAGTAGCAGATTATATAAGATTATATAAATATATATAACTTATATTTAGTATTTCAGAGCAGCGTTTGAGTGTCACAAAAACAATGAGGATCTCAATTAAGGGTGGCGGCAATATACTTGAAAACAAAAGACCGCACCAAAGAAAACACCCTATTTTATATCTGCATCCAAAACATAGTGATGTCCATCGGTATTTAAAGGGACAGTGCACTTTTTGACGTCTTGACCTCGTTTTCTGTCAGCACCCATGCAATTTTTGGCTGAGTAAATGTTGACTGTTTTCATTATTGGATGAAGGATTCCTTTAAGAAAGTTCAGCTAATGGTGATGAAGCGACTTGACATCATCTCGTTGAATAGCGTCACTGAGCACTCGTTGAAAGAGCCCTTTGCTCATTGTTGCGGCTGCTGTTATAAGTCTTACAGCCCTGTTGTGAGTGGAGTGTTTCAGCCAGTCCTCCCTCTCTCGCTTTACTCTGTTAGAGTTTGTTGGCATGTGATGAGATTATGCAGACAGCCAGTGCAAACTCGTTTGCTGTAAATGACTCATTTATTCCACTTTTACACTCGTGCGCGTATCTATGTATTTAATCATAACTAAGTGTTTTATTTTTGTTTTTATTTCAGAATTATTACTATTATTAATATTAAATAATATTATTGTTTTATATAATTCATATATACTGTATATTTATTTTTTTAGAATGATTTTGTTGTTACTTAAATTGTTAATAATATTCATATTAAATAATATATATTTATATAAAATAATATAATACATTTAACCTTTTTAGTGTTTTATTAATTCATATATACAGTATATTTATTTTTTTAGAAGTATTTTGTTGTTACTTAAATTGTTAATAATATTCATATTAAATGATATATATTTATATAAAAATAATATAATACATTTAATCTTTTTAGTGTTTTATTTTTTGTTGTTTTTATTATTAATATTCATATTAAATAATATATAATATATATATTCAGTGTTGTTATTGTTATTTTAATTATTTATTACTTTAAACATTTATTATTAATATTATTCATACCAAATCATATATTATTTATATGTAAATCATGATATTTTTAATTCTTTTCGTGCTTTATTTTTGTTGGTTTTATTTTAAAATTATTAATATTCAGATTAAATAATATATAATATTTTTGTCTTATCTTTATATATAATTCACATGTAGTATATATTTAATATTTTACTAAGTGTTTTATTTTTATTGTTTTTATTTTATTAAAAGATTTGTTATAATTTTATGCTTTAATTTTAATTTCATTTGAACTTTTCAATATCTCGTGAACCCCAGTTTGGGAAACCCTACTGTATGTAAATGTAAACCACCACAATCTTACATCCTGGTAATTGTTGTTTTTATATCACAGAAGCTGTATATATCGCAACATATTAATGCTATTTTAGTTGGTAATTCAGTGGAAAAATTATTTATATATTAAATAACCGTTTCAAATGTCTGTATTTGGATCATCCAGTTAAATAGTCCTCCCACCCGGCCCTAACTCTCAGTAACCAGCAAAACAAGCTTCAGTCCAGAGCTGCAGAACTGTGTGCCAATTGCTCCAAACACGGGGTAAAAATAGAAATGCTGGGCAGTAACAGGCCGTCGTGGTGCACAGGCCAGCCTTTATTCTCTGGAGTTCCAGCGCAATAAAAACGAGATCGATGTGAAAACTGTGAACATTGCGAGCAGGCAGACATTGGAAGCGGGGAGGAATGGGACGTGTGCTTTCGGGAGAGGCTGCTTTGCACATTAGGGATGAATCCTGTAGGTCACTTTGATCCTCTGCAAGTAGGGCACGTCTGCAGACAGGAAGACGAACCTAACCTACTTCGCTTCCCTGTGCTGACGGATCACAGAAAGGCCATTAGAAACGCCACGTTTATCTGCATAATGCCACAGTTTTCAATGAAAGCTCAAGTCCTGTTTGTCCAAAATAACCGCGGGGTCTGGATTCGCAACTCTGAGACGATTGCTCAACTAACCAGATAATTACATGAACGATGACGTCTGATGGTGATTGAAGTGTTGGCTTGGATTGATAAATTGTCCACATCTTTGTTTTATCTTCCAGCTGTAGGCAGAACTTTGCAGCAGGATTATTACTAAAAGCTAAATTTTGAAAATATTAATTAATATTAGAAAAATATTACATAAAAAAAAAAAAAAAAAAACATTTTTGGTACTTATGCCTTCATTTGATTACCTAAAAAAAAAAAAAAAAGTATTTTATAATTTTTGTATTTATTAATTTGTATTAAAACTTAAATCCTGAAAAATTATGAAACAGAGAATTTCTGAAAAAACAAAACATTTCATAGGGGCCCTTCAGTTGATTAGACGATTTTTTAATTATTGCAATTTAAATAAACCATTAAAAAGGAATTAAGAAACACAAAACACAGACTTTGAACACGGAAAACTGATTTCATAGGGCCCTAAAAATTACATTTTTGTTGAGATTTTAATTTAAATTGCCTACGTTTCATGATTTCAGTGAATGCTTTTTGATTTACTCAAATTTAAATTTAAATGTAAAAAAAAAACACAATTTGAAAAAAAAAAGGAATTTGGGGATTTTTTTCAAATTACTTAAAATAAAAGAAGTTATTTAAAATAAAAATGTAAAAAAACTTAAACTCATTTCAGTTAGTTACTGAGACAATATTTCCCATTTGTATTTAATTTAGTTTAAGCTTAAGTACTAAAATATATAATAAATGAATAAATGAAACTAAAACTGAAATTGAAATGAATAAAAACTACTTAAAAAAATTAATATATAACAAAACTAATAAAAATAAAAGTATAACTAAAATGATAATGGTAAAAAATATATAATAGGAACTATAATAGTACATCAGTGATACTATAATAACTCTGCTTTTTAGGGCTGCACAATTAATCAAATTTCTAATCGCGATTACAATTGCGGATGTCACAATTACGTAATCGTTCAAAGCGGCAATTAATCGTTCAAAGTCCACTTATGTTATTATGTGTGCTTAAGATATGTTTTTTCTTTCTACAAGTTATCTTAAGGGTTTTTCCATTGTTTTCATTTTAGTTTTAATATGATATTATAATACCATTCATATTTTACCTTTTTATTTAAAGAAGAAACCAATCCAATGAATAGATGCCATTTGAGGCTTAATACTATAGAAAAGCAATAAAGGTTTTTCAGTTTGAGGGTTTTCAGCTTGTTTATTTTCATCTAAAAATTTGACATGCGGTTGCTTCAAACAATGATATAACATCATTCAATGTAAATTGTGATAATCGTAATTAATAATTGCAATTACAATTTCAAGGGAATAATTGACAATTATGATTTTTGCCATAATCGTGCTAGTGCTGTGTTCAAAATATCGATACGACGATGTATCGTCACAGAGATTTGACGATACGAGTATCGATACAGCTGGCCCTGTATCGATATTGTGGCACGTGTGCAGCAGTGGACCACGCTTAATTTGTTTAAAATTTTACAACGTTTTAAATTGAGTAGAATAGTGCGAGGTTTCTAAAAAAGAATGAATAGAGCATATATAGGCTACAACAAGGTTTAATCTGGCCGCAGAGGAACACAACTGGGTTGCCTGATATAAAGGTTCATTTTTTATAAATATAGGATTTGTATTAAATCTATATTCATTCATATAGTCAAATCGAATCGAGAATCGAAATCGAAATCGAATCGAAAAGCGAAATCGAATACCGAATCGAAAATCGAAAACCAAATCGAAAATCGAAATCGAATCGAATTGAGAGCTTGAAAATTGAAATCGAATCGAATTGGAACATCTGAATCGATACCCAGCCCTAATAATAACTGAGGGCCAAACTCACTAAACAGTTACACAACTTTAGTGCAAATTCTGTTGATTTTCCACTTAATAAACAGCTGTTTTTCTAAATTCTGCTGAGGTGAAATTCAGTGCAGTCATGTATCGTGATACGTATCGTATCGTGGCCTCTGTATCGTGATATGTATCGTATCGTGACTTTGCTGGTGATACACAGCCCTAAATCGTGCAGCCCTACTGCTTTGTCTTTTTAAACATCGAGTGTCATAAACATTATCACAATTACATAACTGTCATTTGTGATTGTTTATTGCTCTCTTATGCAGTTTCCCATGGGACTGGTCAAAGAGCCGAAGCGGTGCTTTGGTTAACTGCTTGTTTGTGTGTTTGCAGTGAGAGGGTCGAAGCCTGGCAAGAACGTTCAGCTGCAGGAGAACGAGATCCGTGGATTGTGTCTGAAATCCCGCGAGATCTTCCTCAGCCAGCCCATCCTCCTGGAGCTGGAAGCGCCGCTGAAGGTCTGCGGTGAGTAACACAACCCTGCTCCTGCTACGTTTCAGCTCGCTGTTGAATCTTAGTTAAAGCACGTTGTACTGTGTTAAATGTGACCCTGGACCACAAAACCAGTCTTAAGTGTCAATTTTCAAAATTGAGATTTATACACCATCTGAAAGCGGAATAAATAAGCTCTCCATTGATGTATGGTTTGTTAGGATAGGACAATAATGATTTTTGGCATAAAAGAAAAATAGATAATTTTGACCCATACAATGTATTGTTGGCTATTGCTACAAATATACCCCAGCGACTTAAGACTGCTTTTGTGCTCCAGGGTCACAAATATGGAATAGCAGAATCTCTACTACCGTCAGATGTCTTTCAGAGTTGGTTTAGCCTGTCATGTTCCTCTCCACAGGCGATATCCACGGGCAGTACTACGACCTGCTCAGGCTCTTCGAGTACGGAGGATACCCACCTGAGAGCAACTACCTGTTCCTGGGAGACTATGTGGACCGAGGGAAGCAGTCTCTGGAGACCATCTGTCTCCTGCTGGCCTACAAGATCAAATACCCTGAGAACTTCTTCCTGTTGAGGGGAAACCATGAGTGTGCCTCCATCAACCGCATCTACGGCTTCTACGATGAGTGTGAGTGTCCAGTGGAGACTGGGCCATGATTTCCGTGATGCGGAAGATGCATTATAATAATAATAATATTTTTTTTTCTTAGCAACACCCTAGCAACCACCCCAAGTACCCTAGCAACCGCATAGCAACACCTTAGCAACCAACCCGGGTACCCTAGCAAATGCATAGCAACACCCTAGCAACCACCCCGGGTACCTTAGCAACCGCATAGCAACACCATAGAAACCACATAGACACACCATAGAATCTATTAATCTACATCTAAAATTTCTAATTTAATTTAATATTTCCTATCTATCTATCTATCTATCTATCTATCTATCTATCTGATAAATTGCATTGTCTTCAAAACTTGAAAACTACTTTAAACTTCAAACTAGTTAAAACTGAAAACCTTCAAACTTAAAGCCTTTAAAACTACTTCAAACTTTCTACCTAGGCTTTTTCAAGCCAACTTAAAGTTTGTCTACAAACTTTACTATCTAGTTTAAGGAATATCACTCAATTCTATTGATTCTATTTTTACAGTAAACCTCATATGTGCAACACTTTGTTTGCCAAAAAATGAGAGGAGTTGTTAAAGTTTCACTTGATAACTTTTTAAATGATTAAGTTGTTAATGTTTTATGCCTTTATTTGATTACAACCACTTTTTTATGAATTAATTTGCATTAAATCATAAATCCACAAAAACCGACAGCACAGAATTTCTGAAAAAAAGAACAAAAAATTATTGTAAACATTTGAATAAATTATTAAATTGTTAACCTTTTATGTATTCAATTGATTAGACATGCTTTTTTGATTATTACTATTTAATTATACCATTAAAATGGAATCCAGAAGTATTTTATTTTAACGGAATACACAGAATTTGAGGAAAATAAAACGGATTTCATAGGGTCCTAAAAATATTAATTTTTAATTGTTGTAAAAATGTGCAAGTTTCATGACTTCAATCAGCAGTTTCATTATAGTTACCTAAACGAAAACCATTAAACAGTTTTTGTTACTTGAAATAAAATAGCTTAACTGAAATAAAATATTTAAAATATTATTTTATCATTTAGTTTATCTTGATGTTCTAAAATAACTAAAACTGAAATAAAAATGAATGAAAACTATATAGACATAAAAAAACTAATAAACAATTAAAAATTACAAAAACATGCACTGAAATTGCTAAAACGGTAATTAAAATTAAAATAAAAACAACTTTAAATATTATTAAAATTATAATAGTATCTCAATGATACTAAAATAACCCTGATTTCAAAATGTTAGTTATTATATATGTTTTTGATTGCTATAATTAGACCAGAATTTAAACCTAAAAAGAATTTCTGGGAAAGAAAAAAAATAAATAAATAAAATGGATTTCATAGTGCTCTACATGATGTATAAATACACACAAACACACAATTTAAATAATAATATTACTTTTTGCATTAGCAAAACCAGATTAAGGAATTTCTTTTGTGGTCATTTGCTAATAAAAATGTCAGTAGACCTTTTTTTTTTTTAATTGAAAAACAACACGATTCTGTTTAACCCTCAGCGCCAAAGTCGCAAAATTGCGACAAGACGTCATACTTAATAAAATAGACTGTAGTTCCTAATATGGTGTAATATCTCATTTGTATTCCCTACCACTAGATGGCAGACATGTAGTACTTCGATTCTAGACCAAAATTACGTCACGTTCCTATTCAAAGTGTTCGAGGAAATAGCAGAGCAAGTGAGCTATTGTGTCATTGATGCGGAAGCAGTTCAGTTTATAGCATGTTTATAGTAAATTGTGAGATTTGTGAGAGAAAATCGCCAAATGGCTAATAAAAAGTTGTACCGTGAGGATGTTGCAAATGTTATTCGCCGATTCTGACTCTGAAGGGTAGGGATGTAACGATTCACTCAACTCACGATTCGATTCGATTCACGATTTTGATTTCACGATTCGATTCACGATTATTTATTTATTTTTTAACAAAATGCGATTTAAGACAAATTATACATTAAATGTGTCCTTTTATTATTGCTTGGACAAAATGCTGCACATTTCTTTGTGAAATTGAAATATTCAATATCTACTATTTCCTGAATATTACTGATGAACTGATCAAAAAGTAGGCTACTGTTCACATGCGTTTTACTACTATATAGTATAGTAACATAGTAATAATTTACTACTTTCTCCTGTTTTATTGTTGGTTTCCTCTTTTCTGATCATTTGGAATGAGGATAAAAAGATAAAAAAACAAACAAACATGCAAATAAGTTATCAATTCGATATCTACTATTTCCTGAATATTATGAAATTCAAGATGGCCACCCCCTGATGACGTCATAATATGCAAATTAGACGAGTATATTTACACCCCACATAAACTTTCGGTCATGCCCAACATTTTTCTAATTTACAGTAGATCTCTATCTTTAAGCCCTTTCAAGCCACAAGCTTTTGAAATCTTGATGTCAAAATCCAGCATTTTTCCAAAAATCCCTGGCGCCTAAAGGGTTAAGGTGTATTTTGTAATCACTAATCCTGCTAGAACACTGGGCTGTCATGGATGTTCATGTTAATATAATTCGCAAATGCATGTCCAGATTTGACTGTGTTTAGCCGTGTTTTAAACTCTTATAAGAGCAAAACGTGCACTTTAAGCAGAACTCTGTGACTCTCATTCAGTGCAGAATTAATTATTGAGCACCGTTGAGAGTGAAGGGAACCGGAGTGTATTTTTAGCAGAGTCTGTCCCTCTAGTCCCTTTTATTCACTTACATTTGAACTACTGTTAAATAATAAATCCTGAAGGTGAGCTTAAACTCATGCTTGTGTGTTTAGGCAGGAGACGCTACAACATCAAGCTCTGGAAGACGTTCACAGACTGCTTCAACTGTCTGCCCATCGCCGCCATCGTGGATGAGAAGATCTTCTGCTGTCATGGAGGTGTGTGTGCTGCTGTAACCTTCTAGATAACCAGAGAGACTTTCACCTGCTAAACAACAAGCGCCGGCTCTTCTGCTACGTGGAATATCGTGAATCTGAGTTTTTATGGCATCCATTAAAGTTCACACTTTTGTTCAAATATTGTACGTGTGACTGTGCAAGTCCAAGTCACATCACTGGTCTTTTGTCATGAGTCCAAGTTAAATCTCAAATCCGTTTGTTAATCTTTTTCTGTATGCAGCAGGTTCGTTTTATAAACACTGTTGCTGGACATTTAGTTTTTGCATTATTTTATTAAATAAATGGCAAGCTGCTGGACATTTAGTTATATAATATATTTTTTAAAATATATTCAATTAAATATACACTACTGGTCAAAAGTTTAGTTTGGTAAATTTTTATTCAGATGTTTTTGAAAGAAGTCTCTTCTGCTCATCAAGGATGCATTTATTTGATCAAAAATACAGTAAAAATTATAAAATATTATTATATTTTCTATGTGAATCTCTGTTAAAATGTAATTTATTTCTGTGATCAAAGCTGTATTTTCAGCATCATTACTCCAGTCTTCAGTGTCACATGATCTTCAGAAATCATTCTAATATGCTGATTTGCTGCTCAAAAAACATCTCTGATTATTATCAATGTTGGAAACAGTCGTGCTGCACAATATTTTTGTGAAAACAGTGATGCATTTTTTTTTTTCAGGATTCACAGATGAACAGAAAGTTCAAAAGAACAACGTTTATTTGAAATGGAAATCTTTTGCAACATTATAAATGTCTTTAATGTCACTTTTGATCAATTTATTGCATCCTTTCTTAAAAATAAAAGTGTAATTGATTTTATAAATTATATAATCTTAATAATCTGTTGGGAAAAAAACGTATGTAACTGAATTAAAAACAGTATTTAATGAAATAATTTTTGTTAGAAAATATTACACATTAAATCGTAAAGTGTTTCTTTCCCCCAGTCATTAACATGAATGTCCATTTGAACTGGATCGCTAAAGTGAATCTAACCTCCTAATGCTTCATGAGAAAGAAATGCCACTGAAATTATTTAAGTTAGTTGCGTCATTCCTCAATCAGATGATCTTTCTCTGATGAAGCTAGCTGATGCATGTAAAACGAGAAGCCTGAACATCTGCTTTCTGTTTACTGTCGCTCTGAGACTCTCCGCTCAGCGTAGCTCTTACTCTGCAGGATGTGTTGTTGAAATGTTTAGGGTGTAAATCATCTTACTTCATCAGTTCATGATTTGCACTGACATCATCTCCCACATTTCTGAGAGCCGAGTCAGTGCGAATCCCAGACGTGTAGAGTATCGCGTATGATCCCTGAACAGGTGCGGCGTCTTTTCTTAAAGGCACAATATGTACGATTTTTTTAACCACTAGAACAGTGTTATATATTTTGCTGACTTGTGTACTTACATTATCCCAAATGTTTCGAAGGATGTTTAAATCCAGAGAAATAAGCAATTTTAACTAGTGACACGGACCGTGTCCATAGTGTCATTGTGTCGCCTGCCAATG